CTTTAAGCAAGATATTTCTTGGATCAAAAGAGTTTTTAAAATTTCAATCTAGGTCTGCCTCCAGGGTGATAATGGGCTGGTCTTTTGGACGAGAGCAGTTCCTTTGACAGTTTTGTTTCTTATAAATTAATAAATTAGAATTCTGTTTGTTGTTTTTTAAATCCTGATTTAACTGAGGCTTCATATTTATTTGGTTGAAATAGAGAAAGATAGTTTGATAGAAAGGTAGTGTTTATATTTAGAATTTCTGTGGGGGTCTATTTAGAAGGAAGGAGCTGCCAAAATCCTTCTTACAGCTTGGGGTTCCCCTTTGTGGGGGTGCATGACATGGGACAGGTTTTGGGATGGGAATGAAAGGGCTTCTTTTTGTGTCTCAGAAAGGATCTTGGGACCTTGAGGGCAGTCAGAGCAGAGAAGGGCCAGATAACAATGGGAAATGCCTAGTCTTTCCTTATATACTAGATAGGGGGACACAGTTGACTATTTTGACCCGAACCAGAAAACATGCATCCGCAACCTGGATGTCTTGCAGGTTTAAAGTGGGATTAATTTTGTTCTTCACACCAAATGTGCTCCTGTATTCTCAGTCTTAGTGATTTCCGTATCTCCTACCCAATTTTCTAAACTAGGATGTATCTCCTGTCCAGTTTTCTAAACTAGGAATATTTATGTCTTTGTCTCTTTCTTTTTCATCTCCTATGTCCAGTTGGTCAACAAATCTTGTTCATCCTATGCCAGATTGTCCTTTCCTTTACTACTCCTACTTCTTTAGTTCAGTCCCCATAATCTCTCCCAGGGACTTTTTCTCTTTCATGTACTGTCACCCATTTCTTCCTACTCCAGTTCATTTTTGTTGTATTCCCAGTTAATTTTCTAAAAATAAATGTGCTTAAAAATTTCTTGATCATGTTACCTGCAGGATAAATTCCAAACCTCTTAGTTTTGGGAGGCCAAGGACCTATCTTATCTATTTTCTGCCTACCTTTTCTAGTTCCCATACCAATGTCCATGCATCTGCAATTTGCACACACATGCATGCTTGTATCCAGACTTCTACCACAAGGAGCTTTGTGAGGTGTCTACACAACTCTGAACCTCTACGTGGAAAGCCTTTCCTTCTCTACTTCCTCCTTCACCTGCCTGTGCCTGGAAAACAATTTTCCTGTATGACCCTGCTCACATGTCGGGTACTTAGTGAAACTTTTCTGACTCCCACTTAGGTTGAGTCGATTGCCAGTGATGTGTTCTAACAGAAGTTTGTGGATCTCTCCCTGATAGCACTTATCATATTGAGTTATAATTTATCTTTTTCCTGATGTCCAGGGTGGGGACTGTATGTTTTTGGTCCTTATAGTAACAGTGTGTTGCATCTTCCTTGGTGCATAGTAGGTGCTCAATAAAAATTTTGCGAGTGGGTGAATCTTCAAAGTTGCTTAATGCTTTTATTCTTTTCCCTTTGTATTACTGTAGGGATTGCCTACCACCTAATTTATTGATTTTGTAAATTATTTAAAAAGAGTCAGATCTTTTATTAATTCAGCGTATGTCTATTGAGTGTTTACCCTGTGCCAGTTATGAACAAGAAAACAGTTCCAAAATAGCACTGTTGGTACAATTTGAAAATCATCCATATTTACAAATACCAGAAGGTTGCTATTCTACCAAACACTCTACTGATTTATTCAAGGTTAGGAGCTAGGACTTTTAAATCAGACAGGCATGGGTTGAAATTCCACTTCCATGCATTGCAAGTTGTGGGATCTTTGGCAAATTATTAAATACTTCTAAAAAAACACAGTTTCTTTCTCATTGAGGAAATCAGAATTTTTTTGTCCGCATAGTATCTCCCCTTTACTTAAAAAAGAATTAAATGAGTGTAAAATGTCTAGAACTATACCTAGTAAATAGTAAGCATTAATAAATGGTAGATGTTATGTTTTTCCTCATTGAGGAAATCGGAATTTTTTTGTCTGCATAATATCTCCCCTTTACTTAAAAAAGACCAGGATTTTTTTTGGGGGGGGGGTAGGGAGTGGGAGACCACTTAAATAATTTAAATCCCTCTTTGAAACAATTGCTGCTTTTAAAAATTACCTTTCTAAACAGATTATGTTATACTTCGTCTTCTTCAGGGTAGCAATTAGACAGCCAGAGTTTCAAACAAGATGTATAAACAACCAGAGATGCGACCTTACCTGTGATTTTCAAAACAAGGGTGTGTTTGTCAGTATAATTTATTGCATGCTGCTTGTATTTTCTTTTGACTTAAACTATAGTTCAGAGAAGTTATTTTTATAATATTAAAGTGCTGTGAGTAATGAAAAAACACTAATACCTGGAAAAAAATAACTGTGGATGATAATTTTCTGACAGCATCAATGGTGCTATTTTGGCACTACTGGGCTCTGACTCTACTTTTAACTGCAAATGTATAAAACCAGACTGAGCTCATTATTTTTAGTAAGTTACATCTATGTTACTTTAAATAAGCGTTCTTTTAGTGTATTTTCATTTTTTGTTTACAGGTCATTAATTATTTGATAGTATTAGAAGCAGAAGTTAGAAATAAGGCCTTAAGTCCCAGTTGAATAAGTTTCATCTAAAATTACAGGGTAAGTCAACAGAGAAAGAGTGTCAGTTTTCAAAACTTAAGGGAGTAAAGGTAGACATCCTAAGGTATAGGACATAGGCAAAATAATGACATACGATAATGATCAACATTAACGGCAATGGAAAGTTGTGATGAAAATGAAGTGGTTTACATCTGAATTTGCTCTCATATCTGCCTACTATTCTGTTTAAACCCAGGGAAATATATTTTCTTTAAAATGCTTGTTTATACTTTATGTGTTGATCAGATATTCAGTATATGCTATTTCTTTTGTAACAGAATTACCTAATTCTAGGAGAACGGAAATTGAAGCCATTCATGCCGTCTTAAAATCAGAGGTAAGGATAATTAAAGACTGATTAAACTTAGATTTTTCTTTTTTTTTTTTTGGTTGGCCAGTAAGGGGATCTGAACCCTTGACCTTAGTGTTATCAACACCTTGCTCTAACCAACTGAGCTAACCAGCCAGCCCAGATTTTTCTTTTTGGAAGCTGCGAGAGTTATTCAAACTTTATTTCAGTCCTCTCATTTTAAATGCACTCCATTCCACTTTTTATCTCTTCTTCTTTATCTCTGTTTTTGTGAGCTTTTATCAGCCTCCTTT